GACGTAGGAAGAGAGCCAGAAGAAGGCATCGGCCGTGGCAGCCAGAGCCTGGACCTGCTGGAAGCGACCTGGGAAGGACAAGAGGAGATGGGAATGATGGAGAAACTGAGGCATGGGAGCATCTTTCCCAATGGAACGAAGCCCGTCAGCACGGTGGGTCCCACACGGGAGTGGGGAGCGGGTGTCACTCACTGGCCAGCATCAAGCAGGGATCCTCCATCTCCATGCGCCGCACTTGGGCCTTGAGGAAGAGCTGGAAGTCGATGCCTTTGGCACGGGAAGGAGCCGCGAAGAACCGTGTGGGGACGCGGGACACGGTCCCCAGCTCGCTCCCCACGAAGCCCAGGTTGTAGAGGATCTCCTCAGCATCCACCTCCCACCGCTCCAGGACCTCGGAGATGCTGCGGGGGTGACCCCATGGGGATGGGGATGGTGAAGGGGTGACCCCAGACACCCCTCAGAGCACACACACCCCAAGGTCCTACCTGGAGCTGGTCTTGGTGGTGAGGCTGGAGGCCACACTGTGCCCCAGGCTGAGCCGCTTGTCTCTATGGTGGGATGAGGATGGGGATGAGCAAAGGGGATGATGCCGGTGGGGTGCATGGGGTGGTGCCCCCAAATCCCCATCAGCCTTAACCCAGGACCCCAAATCTCACCTGGCCGTGGCCTTGTTGCTCCCTGGTAGCAGAAGAGCTGGAAAAGGGGGCAGAGAGGAGTGAGATGGGGTGTTCGGGGACACTCGCGTCCTTGGAGATGTCCTACCCCATGGACACAGCCTGGGGGGACATGGAGCTTGGGGGCAGCCCAGCCCCACCAGAACCCTCCTGGAGGAGAAGCTGCTGCTGGTGGCAATGGGGTGACAGTGACCACACAGGAGGGGACATCACGGGGGTGGCTGGTACCTTCAGCTCCCAGCGTCAGGTCATCCTCAAAGCTGGTCCCGTTGCTTCCACACACTGAAAGAGCAAAGCCTCATGAGATGTGGGGACACACAGGGCTGGGGATGGGCCCCAAGGTCCTCAAGGAGCATTGCCCTGTACCCAAGGGCTTTGGGGACACGCAGGGACCAGCAGCACCCCAGCAGAGCCATGGGGACAAAGCCAACGTACCGTGGGGACCCAGCAAGCCCGGCTCCTCCAGCAGGACCTCGACTGATGACCTGAACCACAGCAAAACCTTGGTCACGTCACCCTGTCCCTGTCCCGGGGGGATGGAGGTGGGATGGGAGATGTGGGAGCAGCAGGATGGGCAGTGGGGAATGGGATGCAAAGGATGGGGAGCAAGGAGATGGTGTCTGCTCTAGTGGAAGGTGTCCCTGCCCGTGGAAGGGGGTTGGAGCTGGATGAGCTTTAAGCTCCTTTCATCCCAACCCCATCCCATGATTCCATGATCTACAACACGGCACCATCCCACCAGCACCCCTGTGCCTGCTTGGGTATGACTTCCATGAAGATCCAAGCATGAGCATCACCCCGCCATGGTGACACCACCATCCCTATGGGA